AGCTCAAGAAAAAAGTCCATGCATATGTAGCCGACTAATATTTGACAAGGGCACCAAGAACTGACAATAAGAAAGGACAGTCTCTTCGATAATTTGGGCAAACTAGATACCTACGTGCAAAAATATGAAACTGGACCCCTATCTTTTTCACTGCTAACATTTAATTCGAAATGGATTAAGGAGTTAAATATAAGACATGAAAATGTAAAACCCCTTTAAAAAAAAAGACAGTGCCTTGGCCGTGATTTTTTCTTAACATGACACCAAAAGTAGAGGGGAAAAAAAACTAAAACAAAGTGGAACTACATGAAATTAAAATGTTTCTACACAGCAGAGGACACAATCAACAAAATGAAAAGGCAACATACATAAGGGAAGGACATATTTACAAGCCATCTATCTGACAGAGCATAGTGTTTTAAAAATATATGGTATTCATACAACTCAACAACGAAAGAACAATCTGATTAAAATACGGACAAAAGATCTGATCAGGTAAATTTTAAAGAAAAATTGTTCTTCCTCAGTAATCTTCAGGGCAAGTAAATCTAAATTATGATGCGATATTACCTCATACCTGTTAGAACGGTTATCAAAAAGAGGTGTTATCAAGCCCGTAGAGAGAAGGAAATCATCGTACACTGTTGCTGAGAATGTGAATTCATAAAGGCATGATTATGAAAAACATGAGTCTACGGCCACGCCACCCTAAACATGTCTGATCTCGTCTGATCTCGAAAGCTAAGCAGGGGAGGGCCTGGTTAGTACTTGGATGGGAGACTACTTAGGAATACCAGGTGCTGTAGGCATTTAAACAAAAATGAAAAAAGAAAAAAAAAAGAAAAAATATTATGGAAATCCTCAAAAATTTAAAACAGAACTACCCCATGATCCGGTAGTCCCACTTCCTGGAAAATATCCGAAGGAAATGAAATCAGAATGTGGAAGAGAGAATCTGCTCTCTCATGTTCACTGCACCATTATTCACAATACGCAAGATATGGAAACAACCTGAGCGCCCATCCATGGATAAACACGTAAGAAAGGGGTGGCACACACATATGTATACACGCAAACGCACTGACAGACACCCGTAGAATATTACTCAGCCTTGAACGAGAGGAGATCCTGCCATATGTGACAACGCCGATGAACCCAGAGGGCATTATACTAAGTGAAATAAACCAGTCAGAGAAAGATAAATACTTATGATATCACTTATATGTGGAACCTAAACAAACAAACATAAAAAAGTTGACTCACAGAAAGAGTTAAATGACAGGGGCCAGGAGGTGGGAGAAATGGGGAGTTATTAGTCAAAAAACGCAAACTATAAATTATAGGATGAAAATGCTATGAGGATCTAATGTATGACGTGGTGACCACAGTTAACAATACTGTATTTCACACTTCAAATTTACTGAATGTATCTTAAACACTATTACAAAAAAAACTATATCAGGTGATGGAAGTGTTCATTAACTTGATAATGGTAATTATGTCACTATACGTATATCTCAAATCATCACGTTATGTACTTTTAATAGATGCAACTTTACAGATCCACAATGCTGAAACAAAAACAGAAAACCAAAGAGATTCTAAACGAAATACTACGAATGGTACAGAAGGGTCTTGGAAAAACAGCTCATGGGCCAGGTAAGTAGTGACCATGACAATGCCTGCAATTCCTGGCACGGGCGTGCCCTAGGAGACGTCAGCTAAAGGACAGGATCAAACCCTGGGAAACAGAAGTGCCACGGATCTGGACACACTGAACCTGGCGAGGGCTCAGCGCAGCAGGTCCTGGGCTGCAGGAGAGGAGGACAGGGCACTGCAGACGAGCCGGCCCTGGCAACACAGCAGCTTCCCAGAAGGAAACACTGTCTGATTCACCTGGACAAAGGAAAGTGAGCAGGACGGAGCCCAGGACAGAGCCCGGTCCAGAGTCTTACCCAACGAGGATACAAGTGCAAAGTTCTCCAGCATCACATCGTGGTACAGGTGCCTCTGAGCATCATCCAGGAGCCTCCATTCCTCCCAGGAGAAGTACACGGCCACGTCGTCAAAGGTAATACCATCCTGTAAAGATGGGGACAGAGGAAACCATAAATTCTGTCCGAGAACCTCACAGTCCCTCACTTCACACACCTACCCCACACGCATCCTCCTCTACAGCTGCTCACCACAGAGGAGGCATCACTGACGCCCAGTCTCTCTCCAGGGTCCCATAATCACTGTGTTCGGCCCTCAGCCATACAGGTAGAGGGGACCATAGATGCCACCCAAACTCTGGGCCTGGCCTGCAGGGCCCCACCCTTCCTGCAAAGCAATTCCCCTGAGGTCCCCTACATAGTACCGACCAGACACAACCAAAGGTGGGCTTATGCTTCACCTGGTCCTCACTAACAGGGTTTGGGGGCCATCTGCTCACGCTACCTACACGTACGCACACCATTCTGTAGACACTACCTCACATGTTCAGTCTCCCTCCCACAAGATCTGCTACTTCCCTGCCCTACATCACAGACGTCACCCTAGACACACTACACGTGTACTTGGCACGTGGCATCGAGACAGTGCCTGACAAATTCAATCACCATCCAGAACCATCCCAGACCTCTGATGGATCCCACGGCCAAAGAAAGCCATGAATGCTGCTTTAAAGGCCTGCCCATCCACCTCTGACCTTTGCTTCAATATAAGCCGGCCAGAGCCACACGTGAATTTCAGATGTCCATGACCCCCTTCTACTTCTGTAATGCATTTTCTGTCCCCTCAGCAGCCACCACCCTCCTCTCTCCACTCAACCTTCCGTAAAACCCCAGCCCTTACAGTCTCCCTGCCAGGCATGAGATATTACCTCATCCCTGTTAGAATGGTTATCCAAAAGACAAGAGGGGTTAGTTAGCAAACATGTAGAGAGAAAAAAATCCTCGTATACTGTTGCCGAGAATGACCACGTATACCCCAGATCTTATCCCCCAGTAAGGCTGAAACACCGCAGACCCCATCCAGCTCACCACACAATTCCAGTCAATCTGAACAGCAGCGAATTAGCAAGAGCCCCACTTCGGTGTCAACCTGTCTCGATGACGCCTCCACCTCCGAAGCCATCTTGCAGCCGCTCCTCCCACAGAGCCTTAGCGACCAGCCAGGTCATCCTTTCTCCCGCACGGATCCAGAGGCCCTTTTCTCCCTCACCTGTGTTTGTTATAATCAAGATCCTTACAGCTCCTAATCCAAAGGACCCCTCCTTGGCAAGTGGTCTAGTCTTTCTGGCCTGCTAATACCATCGCCACTGTAAATCGCACTCCACCTCCGAAACGTCATCCACTGCTTCACCCTGGTCCACACGAAGCTCACCACTTTTGAAAGTCTCCATCTGGACGCCCTGCCCCAGAGGTTCAGCCCCATGTGTCCAGCTGCCCGCAGGAAACATCTGAGACTCTTAACAGGGCCTAAACAAAACTTCTAATATTCCCGAGGGAAAAAAAACCTTGGCGACCTCTGACATCCCACCAATTTCTCATCCCAGTTAATGGAGCATCCGTCCCTTTAACTGCTATGAACAGAACCCTGGGAGCCATCCCTAACCTTCCCCTTTCTCTCCCTCACCTACGACATCCAAAAATCTTCTTGGCCCTTCCTAAAAAACGGACCTAGATTCCAACCCTTTCTCCTACCTCCATGGCCACAACTCTGGTCCCCTGGGTTATACTCCTTACCTCCTCCCATAACCCCTTAATCTGTCCACTGTGCAGCCAGATGGAGCCTGTTAAACCCAGGTAAAGTCCTTCCTCTTATCCAAATATCCCATTACCACCATGACAGATGTCCTTCTCAGGCAGCCACATTACAGGCTTGATTACTGAACCTCTGCTCTTTGTTCTTAAGAGAAGGAACTGAGACCTGCAGAGCCTACTCCCAGCTCAGCCACACCTCGAAGTATGTCCCTGCGTTAACCCTCCACACCTATTTACGTGGGTAACCAGGACCAGCACCTCTACCTTCCCCTTGTCCAGCACTCAGGATACAGGTCTTGGGGTAACATCAGAGCCCCCACACCCAAGAGCTGAGAATACAGCAGGCGAAGAGTCTCATGACCAAAATTCCAAACACCATATGGGTGAGACAGGACCAGGGAGGGACTGGGACATCCTCTCCTTCCGTGAGTAGGTTCCCTAGGCGCTTTCTCAACCTTCAGGGCTGGTGTCTATTTGTGCAGGTCTCCGCTGTGACCCCATCCAATCCTGGAACCTGGTGACCTGGGGTTAACTAAGCCCTGGGTTTCAGTGCTCTGAGCTGCCTCTGACCAGCTCTGTGACCCTGGACGAGGACGCTACTTCTCGATGCCTCACTGTCCTCATCATTCCATTTCTAGTCTGTTCCCTGAGAACCGCAGAAAACTATTAAAACCCTAACACAGCCCGCGCGCCGCTGCTGCTCACAGCCCTCCGCGGCCCCCAGGGTGCTCAGGGCCGGGTGCGACCCCGCCTCACTGTCCCCACAGACATAAGACGGACTCCAGGGTCCCGATGCCTCCCGGTTCGGCCGTCCCCACCTCTCCGTACGGTCCGCCGCTCCGCCTGCTGCTCTCTCCCACACCCCGTTACCCCGGATGTCGCCCACTAGCGCCTCGCCGGCCCGGACGCCGGATTCCGGGCTGCAGGACGCGAGCGGCGCGGGCTTCAGGGTTCGGGGCTGACGGCGGCGAGGCCCGGGGACGCGCACTCACCTGAGCCGGGCCCCTCGGCGCGGCCGCCGCCATCGGACTCTGTGGGCGGGGCGGGAGCAGGAAGGGGCCTCGGGCGCCGCGGTCCCTGTCCTGGCCCTGGTCACCCGGGTGGCGCCGCGAGCCTCAGATCCGCATCTGTGCCGCGGGGACCACGACTCCTTTGCGCTTTCTCGAGTTCTGTCAACTCTGACCGCACCGGATACTCCGGAGCGGAACAAATGCCCGCCACGAGGAGGACGCCGGAAGTCCCGCCCCAACGCGATGAAACCGATCACGGAAATGCTTTCATCCTGACCTGTCATTGGCTCAGCTCTGCGCAGGGCCTTCTGGGTCATGTAGTTTTCATTGCTAAAGGGGCCTCAGGGAAGGAGTTCTGCATCCCGACAACTAGAAAGTGAGGGTCTTGCAAACTGGTGTTCCCATGGCCAGGGAGGGGCTTTGTATGTCGTTAACTGCAGCAAAAAAACATAATTTCATACTCCTTGAAGCTCGGCCTACTCCCAGAAGATGAAAAATATTTCAGGTACTTTCAAATCTCCTGATCTAAATGGGCATATTATTCTTTAGAGTCACTCGGACATAAAATAGTCCACGCTTAGCTGGACACATCATTATTGCTCTTCAAATCCATGTTGTCTGAGATGAATATTGTTTTTTGTTTTATTATGATTGACTAGGAAGAGAAATGACTCCATACATGGCCATGACTAGGGCGAAAGAAAAGGGATGTTCTGAATTAGATGAACAGCAGTTTGTGGACAAAAAAGGGGTTCTGTGGAAAGTAAACACACACGGTGATCTGATCATAAATTCATAAGTGGACAGATCATGGTGGGTAGTCACACCCCAGGCCTATAACTTCTTTAGTGAAAGGTTTTAAGCCACCCCTGTCCATCGTTCTTCTGATTCTAGGGTAACATACCTTTGACATGCCAAAGTAATACCCTTGAAAAAGGCATTAACCCTCAACAGAGCACATAATCTTGTTGGCTATCCTGTAATCCGAGCCCTGCCTCACTTTCACCAATCTCTCTTTTACATCCCCTCCTTAATTTCAAGTGCACAAAAAAAGATGTAAAACTGTTACTCTCTGGAGTATTTGAGATCTTGCTCCCCAGCATATGTGTCGGTTTGGCTCAATAAACTTAAAAAACTTCTCTACAGCTTTAGATATTTCTTACGTCGACAAGTTCCACTGTGGTTCCCATAGAAAACCTCTGTCTTGCCTGTAGAGTCGATGATTATGTCTCGACCACTGAGGAACAACTTTATCCACACAATATTCCTTACTCCATATTCTAAGACATATAGTTGTCCCTCAGTATCCACTGGGATTGGTTCTAAGAACCCCACAGGTACCAAAATCTGTGGATGCTCAAGTCCTTTATCTAAAATGATATAGTGTTTGCATATAACCTACACATATCCTTCTGTATACTTTAAATCATCTCTACTTGTAATATATAATGCAAATGTAAATGCTGTGTAAATTGTTGTTATATTTTATTAAGGAATGACAGGATATCTGTTTATATTCAATACAGGTGCAACCATGCACCTTTCATAGGTCTAACTACATAGCACACATCAGCAACAATGTAACATTTATTTTTTAATATTTTTCATCTGAAGTTCATTGAATCCGAGAATGCAAAACCCACGGACATGGAGGGCCGACTACACTCATTTCTTTTGGATGAACGGACATCTATCTCAAATGGAGAGCAACTTATCTAATGCTATTTTGTCATGAATCAGGGGGTGCAACCTTCAGTCACAGCATGTGGGTAAAAGAACACTGAGATTACTTAGACCAAGCGGGCATGAGACCAAGGCCGTGATCTCGTGTCTTTGCTGGTAAGTGATCATCATTTTCCATTGATTGCAGGTACAGTTCATAGGGAATTGAGGTTACATCAGAAACATTATTTTGAGATGTAAGTTTTAAAAAGTTATTAACAAGTTTATGTAGTTATTCAAAGACAGTGGCGGAAATAGCACTCTGAAGTATCAGAGGATGTTGAAGAAAGTTAGTATCTCAGAAAATTTTTACAAGGGCTTTTATTCTTGAAAACATTAAGTAATACCAGCTTAGAGAAAGAACTGAAGTGGACATTTAGAGTAGCCGAATTAGTGTAAATGAAGAACTTGAGGTGTCGTGTTTATTCACAGCTCTAATAAATGTTCATTGAGAAAATTCTCAGTATCAGGCACTGCTGTAGGAGCATGAGAGACATGACTGACAAAAGCTCCTCGCACTCATGCAGCTCAAATTCTTCAATGTGCAGACAGGAAACGTAAAAGAAAAGGTGTAACTACATAGTAAGTTACAATGTAACATAGAGAAGTCCGAAGACTCATCTAATATTATCTTAAGTCAGATACCAGTGAGACTCAAGGTGCAATTCAGCCTGAGGCAAAATTCCTTTCCAGCTATGAACCTGTGAAACCAAAATGATGAAACAGGAATAGGCTGGACATTTCCATTCCAAAAGGAAAGAAATGAGAAATGAAGAAGTAAGGGCCCCAAGGACACCCAAAGCCAAGCAAACTAAACCTCGCGAGATCACATGGCTCATGGATAATCTCTTTTGGCTCAAGGCTCTGCCTTCCGGACCCACTGGAACAGTGGTCCTTTCTCCGAAGTTGGGCTGGATGTGAGTCTTGCCCCCAGGGACCGGGCTGGCGGGAATTCCACCCTCAGGGCTTAATATGGACACCCTGGTTGGTTCCATCTCCGAGACACTGAGATAAGTGTTCTCGGTGTGAACCATTGTGGTGGTCATGGAAATGGGACAAGTGAATGGATTTCATATCAGTGTTTGAAATAGGACAGCCCAGATTTTCTGACTGTGACGGTGAGGGAGTAAGGTAGGAGTCAGGGATGACTCCAAGATTTCTGGGGTGAGCAAATGGAAGGATAGAAGCTCTGTCACTGAGATGGGTAGTCTGTGGTGGGAGAGATCTTCATTGGGATCAGCAGCTGTCTTCTTGGCCACGTTCAATGTGTGAGATATTTCGGAAAACGGAGGAGTGGAGTTACTTAGTGGGCATCTGGACACACAGGTCTGGAACTGTGGGAAGGGCTTCCGAATGGACCTATCTGCAGAAGGCTGTGGACAGTGTGTGGACTGGGGGGAGCTTTGGGTAACATGTGTAGGAGGAATCCTGGACATGATGGACATGTTAATAGGAAAACAGGAAGGGGAGGGTGCGCGCTACAGCGGGACCATAGCTCTGCTGATGTCTACACCTTCTAACTTGGGTACACGGGTGGCGTTGAGAAGAGAGGATAAACTGGCAGGTGGCCAAGGCTTCTGAGGAATGAGTGGACAATAGATGGACATGGAGGCCTGCTGTTTATTTACTGCTCTACATGGTAGGAGGGGGTGGGGCCCCACATGCGAGGCTGAGAGACATCATCTGCCTGCTTCTTGTTCTTGCTGTGCGCTGAGACCGTAATCAACGTGGCCATGAGTTGAGAGTGGGCAACGGGGCCTGTTATCTTCTCTGAGTTGGGGAGAATGGGAGGAGGGGAACCAGGAGATGGATGTGTGTGGGGGAGGAGTGGTGAGATACCAATTTACGGTTTTAGGAGAAAAGCTAATCATACACTGAACCATCCTGCTATGACAGGGTATCACCTTTGAGGGTATGGCCATTAGCTTCTCCCAGGAGTGGGGTCCCCTTGGTGAGGCTCAGAGGCTCGTGTACTGTGCACAAGATGCTGGAGAACTTTGCACTTACTGTTTCCATGGGTAAGACCCTCACACCCCACCTCGTGTCCTGAGCTTGTCTCTGTCTTTCCTCTCTCCCAGTCATTTCTGTCATGCCACAGCGGGACCATAGCTCTGCTGATGTCTACACCTTCTGGCACTTGTGCTGTGGGCATGAGCACTGAGCTGTGTGCACTGCTCCGAGAAAATCTCTCCCAGGGCAGCCCTGCCACCTTCTGCTTCAAAGAAGGAAGGCGATTGTCAGGGAATCAGGAATTTGGCAGTCAGCCATATGGCTCTCAACTGGCTTGCCTTCCCCTAGGCATGGGCACAGGGTGACAGCTCTGTGGGTTATTGATTCTGCTCCCTTCCTACAGAAGACATTTTCTGGTGATCGCCTGTGCTGAGTTGCAGGCATCGTTGTGATCATTATTGATGTGAACCATGGCTGCTCTTGTAAGCACCTCTTTTGAGGTTGTTGTAATATTTTCCTTGTATGCTGAGCTGCTCTGAATCACAAACTTTTGCCAGCTGGGCTTTTCCCCCCTCAGAGCCATCTTTTTAAAATGGAAACATACCAAGAGCCATTCTTTGAGATGCAAACGTTATGAGAGACAGCTAGCTCCTCTCCCCTACTCCTACGGGAGGGTAGAAGCCTGACCTCCATACTCTCCTGGTCCCAGTGTCGAAAACCACCTGCTGTTATGAAGCTGTTTGTCTTTCCTTTGGATAAAGCCCCAAAGCTAACAGAATCACCCCAATTACCAGGCAGAGTTAGGATGAACTCCACATGACAGATGGCACTGTCAAGTCCTCTTACTTGACGCCATTAGCTCTGTTTATCTTGAATACATGTATGTAATGGATTTTACCTGCTTAGCTATGTAGAGAGGCGAGTTTCTCTGTCTTTGAAATTGATAGTGGATTGACTGCCTGATGAGCGTCAAACTCTGGTTTAATAATTACTTAATAATGAAACTGTTTCTGTCTCTATTACCTTTGTGGAGAGCATTTCTGGGCTGGGAAAAAAAATTGTTTTTACTTCCCCAGCAGGCGCCATCACACAACTGACTGCAAAGACCAAACCTCAACACCCACCTCAGTAGGGGACGCGATAGCACAGCGCTGCAGACAGCGCTGCAGACAGCGGGAAGCGAGGCCTCCGCACCAAGAGCGCCATGGGCGAGGAGGAGCCCTGCGGGTATTTTTAGGAGGTGGGCAGTATTTGTTCTATTTAAAGAGAAACTGAAGTTCATGCAAATTTGAAGAGTTTATTTGAGCACACGGCAATTCCAATCGGCTGCACCAAACCGAACGAGGACGCAGGAAAGCAAAGCAAGGAAATCGCTTGATTGGCTACAGCTCAAGGAGTTGCCTCACTTGGGAAGGCCCAGTTGCCTGTTTCTGGTTGGTTGTCCATTGAGGCATTTACAAGACTACTCTGGCCTCCTTGTTTCGGTTCCAAGCCAAAGCAGCAGGTGGCTAGGTGGTTCTAGTATCTTGACGCCATCCCAGGGTTCCTCAGCAGCGGAGGCCCTGAAACTTGAACCCTTTACGCCATTAGCCTGTTTGGCTCACTGCAGACACTCAGAAGGCATCCACTAGAAGAAGCTTTAGCTCTGCGGCTCTGTCCGGGTCTGCAACCTACAGCCCCATGAACTGAACGGCAGCAGCTTGGCCGTGGCTAGAACACTTGTTCCCAGGGTTTCATCGCTGCATCGGCGCTGTCCATCAGCACCACCAATGGCCTGATTAGAAATGCCACTTTGCCACCACCCCAAGCACAAACCTATGGACTAAGACACTTTGGGAACAAGAGACAAGAATCGGTGTTTTAAGGCGCCTTCAGGTGATGCAGATGTGTAATAAAAAGAATCCCATTTATAAACATAGAAAGTGAAAAGCCCCCAAGCATCTCACCTCCTGGAAAAAAAAATTTGAGAAAGTATCCATTTAGACTGTTTTTTTGCATATGCATGGGCTGCTGTGTGTCTGGGTGTTCATATATCCCTTTACATATGGTTTTCCTTAGTACAATGCAGTCACACTTTACCAATCTGCACTGACGTTTTCCCTCTTAATAATATATCTCTTTCAAAACCTAACTGTTGAGGAGCTGGAATCTGACTTACGCGCCACCGTAGAGACCGTGGCTGGGCATCGCCGGAGGGACCAGTGGAGGGAGACTAGCTCCAGAGGGAGCAGGGACGCAGCCGGGAGGGTCCCTCCTATGCCACCTCCGCAGGGGTGCAGGCCCCCCAGTGGTCGCCTTCCACACCTGTGTCGACCCTGCCCGCCACCCCTGTGCACCGTGGGTGTGTGGCTCCTCACTGCGGCCCCCAGCGCTCTGCACCCCGCATTCCGCCTGGCTCGCTCCCTTCTTGCCATCCCCTCCAAGATGCAAACTCAGGTCACACTGCCACTGGGACTTGAAGTACCTGCATCTCCGAAGGAAAAGAACTCACCTGGTGCCCTCAGGGACACATGAGCAGGCTGAGCCTGGTGTGGACCCTGCCCCACATGGGGTGCCCAGGGGACCATCCGCCCAGTCGCTCCTGGGCCTGTCCTTTGGAGAGGCCCCGCCAGAGCCGGGGACGGCCAGCGACGACCCCAGCGCCCCGGTGCTTCTTTCTGGGCTTGGGGCGTCTGGAGAAGCGGCCCCAAGCGTGCTGAGCTCCACGGAAGGTAAATACCTGTTGGGACCAACGATCGCAGAAAGGGAAAGACGAGAGTCACCTGCAGACAGCGAGGGCGACTCCTCACCAGGCACTGGCGAGATCCGAGGCAGCGCGGGACTGTGTTCTCATACCTCGTGTCACCACTGATGAGGCCACTCGGGGTCCCCACGGACCCGACGGTGCTGGGGGGCGGTGCCTCCCCTCTGCCGGGTCTGGATTCTAACCTCTCCTGCCCGTGAGGCGTCTGCAGCCGTCTGACCAGCTCGCAGCCCCGTCTGTCCTCTGCCCGCTTTGCGGTCGCCTCCTGCGCACCGAGCTGAGTTCTCACGAACTCCACAGGACGCCGCTGGTTCTTCAGCTCCTCGCCGGAGCACGTCACTCTCACAGTGGGAGGACTGCCACCGGACACTGGCGCACACTGCCGCCCGAGGCTCAACGTATTGGGCTACTAGAAGGCTCCACTTAAGCGACAGAGATTAGATTAATAATAGACTTAAAACTTAGACGTGTATGGTGTTTGTGACCATGACGTTACGCATGACACAAAGTTTTGAAGGAGATGAGAAAGTATTCTTCCAGTATTTAGAAACGATGCCTGCATACAGCACAACATCCCTCACAGGATTTGAGAATGAGTACAACTCCAACGTCTTTGTTGATTCAGTATCTTATTTGTAAAACAAAACGAGAAACAGCCGTATCTTCCGAAGAAAAACAGGCAAATGACATGATCAGAAATTGGACAAAATATACACAGGTGGCTACTAAAGACATGAGAAAATGCTCAAAACCCCGAACCCCTAGGGAGATGCGATTCAAACCACAGAGGTAGTGTGAGACATCACTAAAAAGGCTGACGTCAAAGACTGGCCACATCAAGTACTACAGGGATGTAGAGGAAATGGGACTCGCATACGCTGCTGGTGGAAACGCGGTCATTTTTTATCAGAGTTTGGCAGTTTCTCAAAAAGTTAAACTCTCATCTCCTCTGTGTGCTAGGCATGGCACTTTGAGTTGTAACGAAAAGAAAAATGAAACGCTTCTCCATATAAAGAATCGTAATGAAAATGTTCAGAGCGGCTTTATTTGCAATAGTCCAAAACTGAAAATAGCCCGACTGGCCGAACACAGATGAACGGCTAGAGGTACATATACATATACACAAAAACATATATATTTAAAAATATTATTGAGTAATAAAAGAATGAATTACTTATATAAGCACCACTGATGAATCTCAAAACAATTATGCAGCATGAGTGGAGGGAAAATTAGAATAAACTTAAAATTTCATCACATAAAAGTCTAGAAAAATGCAAACTAATCAGTAGAGAGTAAATCAATGGTTGCTGTGAGGTCCAGGAAGGGCATGGAGATTATAAAAGGACACGAGGCAAATACACGAGTGACAGATCTTCATTATAATAGCCGTGACGATAGTTTCACAGGTTCTTACACATGGGAAAACTTATCAAACTGTGAACTTTAAATATGTTTTAATGCATGTGAATCCTATTTTACTAAAGCTTTAAAAGTTGTCCAAAGTAAAAATCTAGATCTCCCACGGTTTTCGGAAAGCGAGCCTTGTTAACTCTATGCCGAGTCTCCAAATTTTCCCATCCTAGCAAGGTCAGTCCGGTCGCAGTCGCAATAAAGGACAGATGTGGTTATTATCCAGACCTTGCGGGTTTCCTAGGGTCATACCTATGTCAGAACTTATCAAACTGTACACTTTAAATATATGCAGGTAGTACATTTAAGTTATACCTTGGGAAGCCTTAAAAAATGGCTCAGGATACAAGTTTATGTCTCGATCTCTTTGGAAAACAAGTTTGATGATCCCGTATTGACTCCACCATCTCTAGGGGCCAATATCGCCTCAGTGGCAGCAAATACGGTGAGTAATGAAAACCCTTTCTACCTGAGTGGACAGGAACGCTGCCTGGGTCCAAAGAGCCACATCCCCAGACCACAGATCCCGCTTTCTGCTTTCCTATTGTGCAGTAACAGCTTTGAGGCGGACGTCACTGAGAGGCTACGGGAAATCAAAACATCTGTCAATGATTTTTATTTTTTCTGACAATAACATCAACATCGGCTACACAGAAAGACAGGCCTGGAGGTGCTGAGATGTATGCACACACCGATCATGCAGGCACAGTAAACATTTCTAGATGCACTTTTAGAAGAGGCACATTCCACTGAGTTGGCTGTGGTCACCTCCAATCCCTACTAGGCCGGTGTTTCTGTACAAAGTACGGTATCCCTTGGAACTAGTGGCCTTACAACCAGTGACTGTAGCCCAGCAATCCTCCAATGTTTCTGTACAAAGTATCCTTTGGAGCTAGTGGCCTTACAACCAGTGACTGTAGCCCAGCAAATTATAGACATCGTGGCATATGATTCTTCACAGACCTGAGGAAAGTTTCCCCTCAACAAGGCTGGCATAATCTGTGATCTATGCTTTGAATAAAGGATACTCCCAGAACACTCCCAGAAGAACCTGAGGTTCTCATATGTGCCCTCACCTCGGGTTACCTCTGAGAATCCTTAAACATAGAGCATCCAGGCCTCAAATGACAATCAGAAAGTTTTTCAGTCCTGTCTAGGAAGCCACGAAAAGCAAGGCAAATTTTGTCACAAGTGGCAAGTTCTTTTCTGCTATCATACAGTTCTTAAACAGTTTAGAGTTTGAGACCCCTAAAAAGTGTTTCACCTCTTCAAGCCTGTTGAACCCAAATCAGTTTGCAAACTACCCCACAGTAAACATAGCACCCGAGATCAAACAGGAGTAAGGCCGTGATTATTGTACAAACCAAAGCAATGTGCAGCAGGCACTTCTCAAGTTCATGAACCGAGAGCTGGAAAAACTCATTACAGCTATCACATCAGACCAACGTGACCCTGGAAAACGCGGTTATTTCTTGGCAGGATGCCAGCCAAACTCGTGCTATTCTCTGGGTCATGTCCAAGGTTGTCAAGGAGGAGGGAAAACTAATCCCTAAGTGCTCAGGTTGCTCCTAATTTGCTCCGATACATGGGAGACCAGGGGTCACTTCCCTTGAGCACACTGGGGTGGCGAACGATACAAACTCTGTTTACCTGCCAGTGGGTAAAGCTGAAATGGCTTTAGCCACAGAAAATAGAAGCAACATAAACCTGGAAAGAACCCTTAGCAAATTAAAAAGTGCGACACATTCACGAATGCTTCCCATACAAATGAAACTTATGGGAAGTCTCCCCAATGTGCACATTCAGATGTACGAGAGTCGATTCAGACAAAGGGTCCTCGAAGAGTTTCTTCTGGTGCTGGAACACCGAGGAACACTGCGTACTCCCTGCACAGTTAAGGCCCTTCTCTAGTGTGAATTCTCTGATGTTGAGAGAGGGTAGACTTTCGCATAAAAAATTTCCCACATTCACTGCACTCATAAGGCCTTTCTCCAGTGTGACCTTTCCGGTGTTGACTGTACTGGGAACTATCCCTAAATGACTTTCCACACTCACTGCACTCATAAGGCCTTTCACCAGTGTGAACTCTCTGATGGTAACGGAGTTTCGAGCTACAGATAAAACACTTCCCACATTCGCTGCACTCATAAGGCCTTTCTCCAGTGTGAACTCTCTGATGATAACGAAGGGTGGAACCAGAGGCAAAAGACTTTCCACACTGACTGCATTCGTAAGGCTTTTTTCCCGTGTGAACTCTCTGATGATAAGAAAGGGTGTCGCTACTGGCGAAGGATTTCCCACACTCACTGCACTCGTAGGGCCTTTCTCCAGTGTGAACTCTCTGGTGGCGAACCAGTATCGAGCTACTCGTGAAAGATTTCCCACATTCGCGGCACTGATAAGGCCTTTCTCCCCTGTGAAGCCTCTGGTGATAACCAAGGCCAGAGGTAGAGGTAAAAGATTTCTCACATTCACTACACTTATAAGACCTTTCCCTATTATGAATTTTCTGGTGTATTGAGAGAGAAGATTTGTGGCTAAAGGTCTTCCCGCATTCCCTGCACTCGTAAGGCCTTTCTCCAGTGTGGCCTCGCCGGTGTTTATTGAACTGTGATCTATCCTTAAAGGTCTTCCCACATTCACTGCACTCATAAGGCCTTTCTCCAGTGTGGACTCTGTGATGGTAACGGAGGCTGGAGCTAAAGGTAAAAGACTTGCCACATTCACTGCACACGTAAGGTTTTTCTCCCGTGTGCACTCTCTGATGGTAATGGAGAGTAGAACTAGATGTAAAAGATTTTCCACAGTCGGTGCATTTGTAAGGCCTCTTCCCTGCATGAGTTCTCTGATGGTAACAGAGAGTGGAGCTGGAAGTAAACGACTTCCCACACTCGCTGCACACATAAGGTTTTTCTCCTGTGTGAACTCTCTGATGTTGAATGAGTGTCCACTTATTGTTAAAAGATTTCCCACATTCGTTACACTTGTAAGGCCTTTCTCCTGTGTGAACTCTCTGGTGTAAAATGAGGTTATTTCTTCGAATAAAGGATTTTCCACATTCGCTACACTCATAGGGCCTTTCTCCGGAGTGAGTTTTCTGATGATACTGGAGGTCAGATCTAGAGATAAAGGATTTCCCACACTCCGTGCACTCGTAAGGCCTTTCTCCTGTGTGAACGCTCTGATGATAACGAAGGGCAGAGCTGGTGGTAAAAGATCTTCCACATTCACTGCACTCATAGGGCCTTTCGCCAAGGTGACCTCGCTCATGATACTGAAGGGTGGAACTACAGGTAAAAGATCTACCACATTTACTGCACACGTAAGGCTTTTCTCCTGTATGAATTCTCTGGTGTCGAATAAGTGTCCACCTATTGTTAAAAGATTTCCCGCAGTCGCTGCAGTCATAAGGCCTTTCCCCTGTGTGGACTCTGTGATGATAACGGAGGCTGGAGCTAAAGGTAAAACATTTCCCACATTCGCTGCACTCGTATGGCTTGTATCCTGAGTGAACTCTTATATGTATAATGAGATTATTTCTTCGGGTAAAAGACTTCCCGCATTCGCTGCACTCAAAAGGCCTTTCTCCAGTGTGAACTCTGTGATGGTAACGAAGAGCCGTACGAGTGATAAAGGACTTCCCACACTCACCGCACTCATAAGGCCTTTCCCCAGAATGGACCCTCTGATGATAACGCAGGTCAGACCGAGAGATAAAAGATTTCCCACAATCGCTGCACCCATAAGGCCTTTCTCCCGTGTGAGAGCTCTGGTGATAACTGAGGGCAGCGAGAGAGGTAAAAGATTTCACACAGTCGTTACACTTATAAGGCTTTTCTCCACTCTGAACTCTCTGATGTCGAATGAACACCGAGCTATGACTAAAAGACTTGGTGCATTCGCTACACGTATAACCGTTTTTCCCATTGTGCCAGTCCCGGGGAGGAACGAGGACAGATTTGTGGCTTACGGATTTCCCACACTTGCCACACTTGTGCTGCCTTGCCCCGGCAGGAAGTCTTCGGTGTTGACTGAAGGGTGAGCTTCCCCTGACGGATTTTCCATAGTCGCCACCCACAGAAAAACTTTTTCCAGCGTGGAGTCTCTGGTGAATGACAAATGCGGATTTGTACCTAAATGTTTTCCCACATTCGGTGCACACGAAACACTGTCTACCAGTGTGGCCGTCCTGAACGAGTGTGTGCTTGGGGCTGTAGGCCTTCTTGCATTCTTTCGAAGCGCAGTGACTTTTTCTGCTTCGTAAATTTGTTGCTTCCCACTGGGTTATTCTGTTTGGCTTCTCGGCTTTATGAGCGGCCTGTTGCTGGGGGAGTCCTAAAGTGGTCAGCAAGTCCTTCTCAACCCTCCCACAGGTGAAGGGCTTCGGGGACACACGGACTCTGCAGCTCTTCACGAGTGAGACCCGGTCCTCACCGCTTACAGAAGCTTTCTGTGCCGTGTGCTGCTCCTGGTGCTGGTGACCGTTTGCGGTGACATAAAATCGTTTCGCACACGCCCCGCACCTCAACAGTTTCTGGCTGTGTTGTGTTCCCTGCTGCTCAACCAAGTGGAAAATATCTCTCAGGACTGGCCCACAACCCTCACAGGGGTGTGTCTTCCGGGACGACAAAGCCTCCTTGGGATTCCTTGCCTGTGACCCCCTTGCAGACACGCTCTGTTCAAAGGGTGCCTCCCCATCCTCTGCTCCACAGCAGCAACCTGAACGCAAAGAAATGCTGGTGAAGTACATGGCGACTCTGGGAAAGGGACAACCCCACCGCAGATGTACATCTGCTGCATGTGGACCTGAGTATCAAATGCTTTGCAGAACAAGAAAGTTGGAATTCATTGATGGATCGGCTGACCGTTGTGTTACTGGGTCTCTAAGGTCACAAAATGGTGGAGACCTGACCGGGGGAAGGGTTCGGGGCAGAATATGACACGAGGAAGAGTGGCAGGGCGTACAACTCACGTCCACTGCTGACGGCGTCCTGCGCA